CTGGTGCTGCTACCAGAGCAGATTATATTACAAGCCAGAGAAAACAATCTTCAGTTTGGGCAGCCACAGCAGTCTCCTCAGTGGTTCATAGCAACAGCATGTCCACAGAGAAGGTATTCTTCAGGCCCACTTTCCCGACTACCGATGAGCGGTTGGGTATCCGGGGAACGACCTGAAGATGAGATATCCTTTGGTCAGTGGCGTGCCTCCCTCCAGCACGGTTTCTATACGCAGAGACTCCGAGGGGTAAGAGTCAAGCCACCAACAATAATAATAATAAGGAATGGCTAAAAGTATCACTACTGGTTGACTCTGCAAGCATTTAATCAGGAATCACCGATACTCCCCGAGGTCTGCCCTGGGCGAACTTAACAGCTACAAAGGAAAAATAAGCTTGAGCAAACGCGTCAGTCTCCAACGGGCAAGCATCACGAACCAATCTCCTCACCTTAGATCACCAACACGACTGAGCTCTGCAAAAAAGAAGGTGCTTTAGACAACAACGTTTTCGGCGTAATACCAGGAGACGTTAGAAAAGAGGTATACAACTAGCTCCAACGCTTCAGACGTTCTAGTTGTCTTCACGATCAGTCTGGTGCTACAAAAGCAAACTAGAGAAGAAGACTCTGAGGAATCCAGGCAGTCACGTTTGCTGGAAACTTTAGTCAAGAAAAAGTTTAGCTCACCGGTCCTTTTTAGGGCGATCGGACGTCAAACTACTTTGCCAACAAATTACAACTTAACTAAGTTGACGAAAAATAGCCTTTTAAGCTTAGAAAAATTTTAAACGTGCCTATATATTTAAATCTTTCAGATTTTTAAATAGGTAGAATAATGTATATTTGTATACATTGTGGCAATAAAAACTGGAGAGATTTAAAGCTCTAAGAATTTGTTGCTTTGGTAACAAAGTTGTAAGATTAAAAAAATAACTTTTCAATTATACATTTTTTGTCAGTTTTAAATATTTATAGTTTTAACAAATAGCCCTGTTTATTTATGATGAGAGAAAGTGCACATCAACAGTTCTGTAGGGCCAACGATTATTTTGTGGCTTAAGGAACGCACGGTACGTCTCAGCATAATTAAATTTTTTTCACTTTTTACAGCTTATTATTTGACGAAATAAACTGCATGGATTCCGAATAACTATGTTTTTGATAAGAAAATTTATGTTCTGAGAAATGTCAGGAGTAAATGTAAAATTTTTAACTGAAAACGTTTTACATTACGTATCAACACACTCTAGTGTTCTATTCAATGAATCTCGGACGAAGCCGAGACGGGAGGCCACTAGTATACATATATTTCAACATGCGTAAGAAATGTTTGTCGATTACTTTATTTACTGTAACACACGTGCATTTTTTTGTATCACCGCACAAAAAACCTGCTATCAATACCCCCTCCACCTATGAAAAAAGCCTTCGAGGAAACTCTCGTCAGACTCTTTATCACGAATAAAAGCACGTGGTGACGAGAAAAAGGGGCTAGATCCAATCAAAAGTCCGGCTAGGCCCACAAGATCTTATAAACCAGTACGACGCGACGTAGCCGTCGTGGTCGTCATCGTTGCCTCCTGCAAACTATATTACGTACATGTGTAACGTGTACAAGTATGGCTTGGGGGATGGCCCTGGCCCCACATCGCGCACTACTATCATGTAAATATAGGTATATTCTGACACTGTTGCACGTATACGTGCACCACCAGAGCCAAGGGGGGCGGGAAGGAGGGCTGCTCGAACACACTATTATGTTTCATGTAACTCTCTCTCTCTCTCTCTCTTTCCGAGGAAAATCGGTAGGGGGACTGGCATAGCCAATAGACCGTCGGAAAGGTGACGCCCGCCCCAGCTTCTCTCCATCTCCCTTTCCTTCTCACCGTTACGGAAATATACACAGAAACGATTTCTTTTTCCTATGCATATATTTATTTTGCGTACCTACCACCATGGCATAGCATGGTCCAAAGTAGTTAAAGTTGAGCCGTCGGGTCACCTCCAACTAGTCTAGTCCCTATGTTTTCGGAGTTAAATGAAGCGAGCGAGTGTACTGCATCATCAAAACGAGTAGGTACGAGTGTTAAGTATTATGCAGGTATAGGTAAAAAGACACAAACTGCGATCAGCTGGTTTTATTTTGTAACAACTGAGTGGTGTCTTCGTACAACTGCTAAGGTTCGGTATATGTGCGGGAGGAAAGTATGAAAGTGTGGTTCAAGGTTAGGAAGAGTAAATGAGGAAGATTAAGGTGAGTTGATCTATTGATTAGTACACAACCTTTCCACTTTGTAAATTTTATTCTGTTTTACCATGCACAGTAACGGTTTTTTAGTAGTTTTGCTACCAGCTTTGAAAATAATGTGACATTTAGTATTGGCTAGTAAATATATATGTACACATGTCGTATTATTTCCTATAATCTGATGTGGTAAAATTACAAAAAAATTTTGACTTTATACATATATGGTTTCAAAAACCTCACGTGTTAATTTATACGTGTATGTAAAGTGAGGTTATAAGTTTGGAAAGTCATCCTTAAGCATTCGAAAGTCTCGAGCGCGCGGTATATTTACGGGGAGCTCGCAAGTGATGTGTATGTAGATTAAAAATACCTATACGTATACTTCCAGGCACGCACAGATGTACTCATTGCACTGTACTTGCGATGAGTAAGTTGCGCATGTTTGGCGTTAAACGTATATATACATATGTACATATGTGATACTGTGGCTACATCGGCTGAAAATTGCGAATTAGCAATATTCCGTTGTACTTAAGCAGAGACTGGACGGATGCACGAATCGACGAACGATGGGCGTATCAGAGTGTGTGATGCGTACGCGGCTCGAAACGAAACGTGTTCTTACGTGCGCGTGTTATTCGTTAAGAATAAACGCACAGCAAGAAGAAGCGGTGCTAGATTACACGATTACACAGCCTATTATGGGCTGAAAACTTTGTTAATGGTTTTTTTGTAGTATTAATGCATTTTTTATACTTTTGAGTATTGATAACCAGGGTCAAGAATTCGTTTGAAAGAGATACCAGCTATTATATTTTATAGTTAAAATAAAATAATAAAAAAAACTGAATGAAACAAAAACTATTTTCTGTTTATAACAATAAATATGAATTTTTAACACTGAAAATCCATCCTAAAAGTATCGAAAATTCATTAAAAATACACCAAATAATTAACAAAGCTAGCGTAATATAAGAGACTTTGTATTTATGTTATCCAGCATTGACTTTTCTTGCCGTTCAGGTGGCGCTGTTTTAGATTACTGCACACAGCGAGCATGAGGGTAGGGGTCACTTATAGTCGCCACTCACGATTCCCATGGAAGTCATGAGTCGAGGAGAGCTGCATCCTGCTATCTCCCTCTTTGTCTTTCTCGGAAGAGTGTATTGTATCATCATATAGATATAGTCCTCATTAACAATTTGGTTAGTGTGCATTGAGCGAAAGTGTAGGAACGCGCTACTCACATTTTTACGAGGAAAACGTATATTGCCGCACTGGCAGTTGATTTAGACGTATAGTTATCTGCGATTTAAACATACTTGAGTAAATATGATTACTGTGAGCTGTGAGCGAGTGTGTTGCTGCGTGCGAGAGAAGATATATAGAGGAGGGCGTTCAGTTCAGGGCGTGTAGGTAAGCTGAAAATAGGTGTGTGTATAAAACTGCGTGTCCCCGGAGAGAGAGAATTGTGCCAGCCTGCAACACATGCTGTCCAACTAACCGCACACTAAAGTCCGTACATGTTTTATCACGTTTTCTTTCTCGGGATAAAACTTGACGAGGGTTTTAGTATTTGTGAGTTAAGAAATTTAAAAGAGTTAACGGTAGAGGTTAAACCAATAAACACTTATATTGTACACATTGCAACATTTTTGCAAACAATTTCTATAACTTTCTGTACTCCCGCCTTTTTTTCTAAATAGTGCGTTTGGTGAATTTTTGCTCTTGCGCGAATAATTTTTTTTTCTTATTCTGTAGTGAGGTATAGGACATGGGTATGCAGACATTAATCATACACCTATACTATACTATGTTCTGACGTATATCTACACTGCTTGTTAAACGTGTGCGCGTGTGTGTGTGTGAAAGAGAGAGAGAGTGAGAGAGAACGAAAACTGCAGCCAGGCGAATGGAATAGAAAGAGACAAGATGAAAAAAAAATTCTCGGGTACTCGGCCTTCGGTGTTGCGACTTTTGACGTTTTTTTGCTCATTTTCTTATGCTCAAGAAAAGGAGAAAAGATGTCTGTCGCTGTATTATACACAAGTATACGTATTTTGTGGCCTTTGATTGCGAGGGAAAGGAAAGAGAAATCGCTGTGGTGGTGGAATCGGTGAAGAGATTTTTTTAACATTTGTCTTTTCGTAGCCATGAGGTGCATAATCTAAGTGTGGTGTTTTTAAGGTTATGCCGCTCTTTGTTCACGTTATCGTTTGTCAGTGCAAGTTTTAGTGAGATTTGTTTTCTTTTCCTAATTAAGTGCAATCCTAATCGAACAGTAAAATGATGTTATAGTTATTTCTGAAAAATTGTTTGCTCGTGGAAAATACAGACTCTCGGCATAAGCCACAAGTTACAAGCTAGACACATGCTACACTTGCGAAGTCGAACAAACTTGTATACACTAGGTGCGTTGCGTATCACGTGATAGTCACAAGTTGTGTATTTTTATAAAATCCCATTAGATTGTGTAATATAAGTTTCTTAACAGTCATTTCTACTGTCAAGAAAATCATTACAAATCATAATACCATTGAAAACTCAATTAGTTGCTCTGAAAAATATAAAAGATGCAAAGTGACGCGTCACAAACATGTCACCTCTACCACATTTATCGTGTGTATGGGTCTTAATGCGTTAGTGTGCATGTTTCGTAGCGCGAGGCTGAAAAGGCGTCACACCGTCAAGAGAAAAGGCGTCCCTCGCCTCGTAAACGACACACCTATTCTGTGCGTGTGGTCGCTCTCGCACGGTCTCTTTTCTTTCTCTTGCGTTTATTCTACTGGCTACTTCTCAAGTGTCAAATTTATCGGGACTTTATTAGTCATTATCTCCCTCTGTTTTTGTTTTGTGAATGTGTGTTTATATATACATACACCGTTCTGATAATTATCGCTTTTTCTCTTGTTCATACCTGTATACGTGTTAAGAAAATACATTGCTGTACTAAAGGCAATCATTTATTTTTGATTCACAGTTGTTACGTGGAGTAGTGCCCTAGGTGTGTCTTTTTGTTCAAACTGCAGTGTCAAGGACAAATTATTTGATTGAAAAGAGTCTGCCAAACCTTGTGTGGGGAAAAAAATTATGTGGGAGCAGAAGTCAAAGCTTAATGCAGTCAAGACGTGTACGTGTGGATGCAGGATACTGTTCTCATAACATACCTGTATTGGTAGAGCTGGAGTGTGGCTTCCAAAGTACTTTCTCAGGATTGCGTTTTGAAATAATTTTGGGCCAACTGCCGAGATTTAAGGACGATTAAATGAAATGGACCAAGTCCAAGCAAAAGTGACTGACAAGGTAAGGTTTTAATTGTTGTTCATCATTTTTTTATGCATAAGGACATATTGTAAGCGTAGCAGTTTACATGTGTTATGAAATATTAATTTCATCAGATATAATTGAGATAGTTAAAAAGCTTAATATATACCCATGATGGGGTTTTAGAAGCACATACCAAAATTTTTAGTTGTATTAGTCATACAAAATTTTTGTTGTAGATGCTCATCATGTGTGATTTGTTATGAAAATATATACAATTGATTAGTTAAAGAAACAGTTATAACAAAAATCGTGCAGTCTTATGCAAAAATCTCGGAAATATTAAAAAAAAACTCAAGAGAAAAAGAAAAACAATCAATCTATAAATAAACTGCATTTCAAATCGACCAATACAAAGGGTTCTCTGGCCCCTGTCTCTCTTTGTTATTCCCTTGAACACAACTGCACCCACTACGTTTCCAATCAAAAATCAGGCACGCGATTTCCACATGAATAATCTGTTAATCCTCGCCAGGGATAAATCTCATTCTCTTGATTTTTATTTATTCTGATGCAAAAAAAGCCGCATCATAGATCACGGCAAATCGACTAACATAAGAATAAGAAAAAGTAAGTGTCATTTATCATTACCACATAAAAAGTTGGAACTCAATAAACCTGTTGTGTGCGCGTCTTACAAATACTTAGGTACTGTAGCGAATCTCGCATTTCACTTATTACAGCGCACAAACGGATAACAGAAAGAGAAAGACACAGAGAGAGAGAGAGAGAAAGAGAAAAAGAGTCGATTCTTATACACGTGCATGTGAACGTGCTCTTGACCGATCCCATATTATGCATTGCAAGCTCAAATTGACTGGCTACACACGACTCAAGCCCCAAGAGACAAAACTCACCACCGCGCATTTGTAAGCAGGAGAGCTGGGAGGGGGGTAGGGCTCTCCCACATAATACCATTATATAGATACATCTAGATATCTGATATGCTATTAACACACTGTATGTAATAGTCATATTACAGTATAAACGTATGTCACACATGATCGCGTGCTTATTGAACGTAGGTGGGCTTTTGAAGCCACGTGCAGAACATAACATTGGCAGCAAGACGTCATCTCTCTCTTCTGTTTGCATGTAATAATAGGTGGAGTCTCATCACCAAGGGTCTCCTGCCTACATACTCTTATCTCTTTCTCTCAGAACGAGTAGGTGGAGGCTAGAACCTCTCTGTATTTCGAGGACTACCGCTACACTCACCCGAGCTATAGAGTCCCGTTATCTCAAGCTCGAATATACACATGCAATTTACGTATATGTTATACTTGTGCTCCTCCCCTGCGAGCCCGCAAGCAAGAGAGAAAAGGGAGTTTTCGAGTGGGCGGGTTGCAGCGCGCCGGGCAGATCAGCAGTAGCGCGAAAGCGCGGCTTCATCCCCCTTTTTAGGAGAGCACGCGACGCGTAGGCCGTTCCTCTCGTGTGTGGTTACTGCTGCTGCTGCTGGGGGCTTCGTGAACTCTCGCGGGTACCTCCCTTTTTTGAGAGGTGGGTGCCGGCCGGCCTTGCTGCTTTGGAAAACACGTGCTATTGCTGCTGCTGATAATGACTGCATCGTGCTTTTTTGTGAAGCTTTGGTTTCGTAGCACAGTGGTATTTTGTACCATGTTTGAATGAATTGAAATAAGGACATTACTCGGTTCGTTAAAGTAGTTTCAGCAATTCTGAGTACTCGTAACTTACTTTTTTTTGTTCTCATGGTGGGAAGTACGAAAAATTTCATCAATGTGTATACTGTACAAAGGCTAAGTGCTTACGTTTAGAGAAAAAGAAAAAAAGAAAAATCTGTTGGAACTAACAGCAACCGCGTTCGGATTATTTTTGGGAGGATGCTATGAAGGGGGAGGGGGCGAACAGTTGCAAAGAGGCAATACAAGCCAACCGAAGGGGGGTCCTACGCTCGTTATTGTTCCAAGTGGGCGGGTTGTCAGGATAGAGAAGGAGAATATGCACGCACATTGTGCCTATATCCATACAGAACGAGAGGACGAGTCTGCTTGGGTATAGGTACTGCAATACCTACAGAAGGTACCACATATAGTCACGGTCACCCATCCACGCATATGTGTTATAGTCGACCCCTTATTTTCGCCTTTGTTATATTTTATTCTCACTCGCTCGGATGTGGGTAGGCATATTCCTTTGCTCGCGTGCTGTGGGTATGCGGGCACATGGGATGTGGGGCTTAGCCCCATGCGGATGTTTGCAAGGGGACGAGAATAACTGGGGATCCACCCCTTGTGTGTGTGTTTTTTTTTTTTTTTTTTTACGTATCTGCAGCGCACACTTGAGAGGAAGATTAGAAATTGAAGTTACTGTGCAAATTTCTCGTACCCTTAATCTTTGATCTTTTTTATTTGACATGAAAAAAACATGAGTCGATGGGAAAAACTGATTATTTAAATGACATTATCCATGAAATTCCATTAACAATCGCTATTCTTGCAACTGGCTTACAACAAATCTTCGATGGTAATGATAGTCATGACAATACAGTAACCCCCCTCGCCAAACCTATACTTTAACACAAAGAACCTCACTTATGGGATCCCCCTATCATTGAGTCCGTAGTTCAACGACAGGAGCCAGTCGGCCAGCGTACCCTTATCTCGTCGTGGCACTCGAATCCTAATCAACCAATGACTTCGACCGAGGTCTGTAAAATAATCTACAATGTATCTTCAAAGAACAAGAAAATATGCATGATACGATGATCCAAACTCTATACTTACCCGTAAAATAAGACACTGCGGTGTGACAACGTGTATTTAACCGAGATTTACACGGTGCTATACATGCGGATACACGGGGCGTCGAGAAAAAGAGAGAAGAGGCGGTGCTCGTATCACGGCGCGCGCACTTGCTACGGAGGACTCTCCCTCGGCCTCGGTGAGCTTTACCTACCAACCTATACGTACGCGTCAAAAGAGACGGAGGAGAGAGCGAGAAAGAGAAGTCCGGGTGAGTTAAAGCGCGCGAGTACGGCACATCGGCTTCGGAGCACGTGGACTTTTCCTTCGAGGCGGGATTTCGTGCGGCCAAAGTGGAGGTGCAGTGTGTTGTAGAGTGTGTTAATACACATAGAGTAAAAGGAAGAGGGAGGAGGAAGAGGAGATGTGGTGGGGCAGGAGGGGGCCACAGTAGACTGGGCGGGTATGTGTAACGTTCGGGGGAAGGTATCTCGTGTTTCTCTATGCTTCAAGATGATATTTGGGCCCTCCTCCCCCCATGAAGCGGGATGAAGATGGGTGTTCGGTAACTTGAGTACCTGTACCTATTGGTACTTGTACCTTTTCAAATTGATTCGCACTTTTTCGGAAATCGTTATTGGATGGGAAGATTTGTAGTGTTTGTCCTGTGTGTTCTTAAAAAGAAGGGCTTTGAGTCTTCGAGGCAGTGTGATAGGTGCTCAGAATCAATTGTTTAATACAAAATCGATGTTTTTGGTGGATTAGTCGTGCCTTTTTTTGAAAACAACGTCCATTGGTGGTACTGTCATATTTTATATTTATTTAAGAAAAAAACAACGTGTTGGCCGTTAAGACAACGTCCCAGTCCTCATCAGGCACAAAAATCTCTGACTCTAACGAAAGGGATGTAAAATTGTAATGTGCCTTTTTTTCTTGTTTTTTTTTTGTTACTTTGATAATAGTAGACAACACTTGAGTTTTTTAAAAGTCTTTATGACTATTTAGCATCAATGCTGTTATCGGACATTTTATACGCAAAACTCTATAACTATAATCATTTAAATTTTGATTTTGATTTTTGCTGTATTAGAGCGCATTTCGAAAACGTACAAAGATCTGGACGTTGGTCATTGGTCATTGGTCACCATTAAAAAAGTAACCTTATCATTAAAACTTACATTATCCGGTTGCATGAAAATTTTCGAAATATATTATTACTTCACCTATCTTCAGTCAACCACCTAGTCTGCCAAAGATTGATGGAATACCGATTTCAAAAAAATTTTAACGCTAATTGATTATTCCTCTTTTTAATGGTAGACACGGGTATATTGGAATGCTAAATTTTAAAAAGTTTGAAATAAAATGCATGAATCGTTTCGAAATCAGCATCAAATGCGAGCAGGTATATGGCCAAACGATTTATAGGGGCGTTGTAAAAGCATCTCCTTGTCCGGACATCGGCCAAACGTTTTAAGAGGATCTCGTGTGGCTGATTGGTAACATGCTTTTACGATGCCGTTTCTCTAATGATGCGAAGCCGGACCGTGTAGGTGTATACATGTATACATGTATAGCTCTGCGTGAAATGCGATCGGTCCCCTATACTTTATTTTTCAAGAAATGAAACGAGATACTGGATAATGTGCTACAATTCAAAAGTTGTTTCTCCTCTGTAATGAGCTGTTGTTTTCGTTTTGAAGCTTGATATCCTTGATGAAGCTTTTGCTTGGTTTTTTTTGAGATAAAAATATATAGATTTTTGTTTTTGTTTTTTTTTTGTTTTTTTTCAGTAATTACATTGATTTTTTTTCAATGAATCTTAATGAAACAGTATAATTTTATTCACAGGACAGTGCCCCCTTCCAAATATTTACTCTGTAAGGACTCATAAGAGATTCTACTTTGAAGTGAAAGAAAGAGAGAGAGAGAAAGATAGCTAATAAAAAATTCCCGTATAGAGAATATCGTGTATTTTGAGCAAACACATCAAAATGAAGCGAAACCTTGACGGCCGAACTCTTACGCAGGTCAATATGATAAAAGTTACGAGAACTTTTAATAGCTTGGGAAAACTTTCGTGTACGCTTCTGGGTGTTTGGTCGCTTTAAAACTACTATCATGCTCTAATCTTCTCATTTCATGCTAAACATAGATATCTAGTAAATGCGATTGTAAATAAACAGAACATACTATCACTTAGTTCACTAAAAAAAGTACTGGCTTTCTTCCGTACTTTACTCATTTTGTAGATTTCTCTACTGCAATTTTCATTTCTATGATGCACAAAAACAATTAATAACAAACATGTTTCGAAATCATTGCTTTAGAAATAATATTGACATTTTTTCACCACTATCAACATGGTACAGGGATTTTCATAACTTCAATCACGTTACACACGGTTACCAATTCTTTACAATAAAGCAAATAAGTTTTTTCACAATCCCACTTTATTCTGGTCACAAAGGATTTTAATCACACTCGCACAAACTAGTTTTTACTCTGATGTCTTTCTGATGTTAGTCATCGTTAACGATACCTTGATGTTTACTTGATTTCGCAGGAGGAGATAGATGAGAACGAGCAAGCCCAAGCACAAGCTCAAGCGCAAGCTCAACAGCAACAACAACAACAACAACAACAGCAGCAGCAGCAGCAACAACAACAACAACAACAGCAAGAAATTGTTGAACAGCAGCAGCAGCAACAACAGCAACACATTGAGCTCCAGCAGGGCATTCCCACGCAAATACGCTTTCTGAACGCCAATGTACTCCAACAGCTTCAACAGCAGCAACAGCAGCAGCAGCAAGATGCTCAACAACAACAGCAGCCTACTGTTCTTACGTTGCAACAGCTACAGAATTTCATGCCAATCCAGCAGCAACAGCAACAACAGCAACAACAGGATGTTCAAAGGGCACAGACGATATCTATGCAGGGAATACCGCAGCAGTTTCTTCAGGTGAGCTTAATTATTTGGTTGGTATTGCAAATTTAATAAAACGGAAGCCCTGTCTTGAACCCAAGGGCTATAAAAGATAACAAATGTGGGTTGAAAATTTCAGTCGCTCGCACAGAGGGTTTTTAAGGAACTAAAATAACAAATATAACGACTACAATGACATTTGTCTAGTCTTTCCAGTCTAAAAGTAAAAGAATAATTTTTTCAATGATGTTTTCACGTTTGTTAGTTCTTTTGCAATTATTTCAATGGTATCATAGAAGTTTTTAGTCCTTAAATGCTCTGGGTAAGTGCTCGAAACTTCAGACTCGATAAATTTACCTTTTATATCAGACCCGGACGGTCGATAAAAAAATTTTGTGGAGTTGAAACTTCACCCCGACCAGTTTCGAAACCTCAGGAGGGGGAAAATATGAAAATTGCTGTGCTAGTGGCACTGTAAACTGGTATCGTATTGATATCTAAAAACTAGTTGAAACTTAATCAAACTGTGTTAGTCATTTTATTGGTGCAGTAATTCTTATAATATTGCACAGCGACGTATAGTCGTCATAAGCAACAGTGTTTCACTTGTTTTACGTGACTAAGTTGCGCCTATAGCCAACAGTGCTCTAGCTGTTCCGAATTCGTTAGTATATTATTATTAGTCAATGATGCGTAAGCGTTATTTACTACCGAAGATTCATTAACATGAAAAAACCATCTACAAACTTCATAGCAATAGTCTTTGATAATTGGTAATAAAAATTTAACATGTTTTTCAACTATTTCGTTGTCTATTCACTTTTTCATAACAATTACGTTTAGAACAATATAAAATACATCATTTATTAGTGAGTCAAAATATTTACAATATACATTTTTCTAGCAATTACTTGATTATTTGTTAGAATAACGACTGAAAGAGGTGAAAGTTGAAAAGGTCCAATGATAAACTTTGATTTTCATCTGCTTAAGATAACAAGGTCGCTGACTAACTAGTATATTAATCTTTAAAGGTTCTTATAGTTGCGTTTGAATTACGTTTCAGAGAATACACGTACGTTTAGTTATTGGAATGTTATTTTCGATTTTTAACAAGTAAAACAATTACACGTGAAAATGTGTGTTTATCAATAAATCGAAACAGAGAAAAAAATTTTTTACTTACAAGTAAATATGATTTTCAAAACGAGCAAGAAACGGTATTTTAAAAAGTTTGTTTATTCAAATGTGACCAAAATCGTTTATGAAAGTAAAGTGTGGTATAAGTCGGAATTGCTATACAAAGAATTTATAGAAAATGATACAAAGGTATTGGTTGCGACAAAATGCATCTAATCTTCTTTCGTTCAACGGATTCTAGTTAATTCATAAATAACAGAGTGGAAAATAATCATGATTTGTGACCCCATTTTTTTGACCTGTGAATACAGGGTGCTCAGATAGTTAGCAGTCAAGCTCAAGCTGCAGCCTTGCAACAGCAAACCCAGCAGCAAGTGCAGGCGCAGCAAGCGCAAGTACAGCAGCAAGGCCAGACTCAGCAGGTCCAGCAAGCCCAACAGGCTCAACTGAGCTACAGCGTCATACCGCAGATGCAGACCGTCAACATAGACGGCCAGGAGGCTCTCTTTATACCATCAGCCTCGGCTGCGCATCAGCAAGCCCAGCCAACCATGCAATTCGCCACTGCCAATGGCCAACAATTACAGTTGGCTGCAGGGCAGCAAATACAGTTGGCCAACGGCCAGACCCTCATCAATCCGCATCCTGTTAGTCTGATAAGGTCGCCCAATGTGTTTCCAACGTCAATTATACAGAATATCGGTGGACAAACGGTACAGTTGCCTACGGGACAAAGTGTACAAGTGCGTCCTATGCAGTTTCCCATGCAACAGTTGCAGCAAACTGTGCCTGTGCAGATTCCAGTTACGGCTAGTAATGGGCAGACAGTTTACCAGACGGTTCACTTTCCCGTGCAGTCGTTGTCTAATGTTATTAACATGCCTACCGCTCAGATGATACCACAGATAACACAGGTACATTGAACATTTTTCGATTATACTTTCGTGTATCTACTTTTGCGTAAAATACTTGACTAGTTATTTTTTTTATTTTTTTTCCAGCAAATTCCACAAGTTGCCCAGATAATAACACCGAATGGTCAAATACAACAAGTTCAAATAGCAAATTTGTCACAGTTGCAAAGCCTTCAGGTATAAAATCTCAGCGATGCTCGTGTCACTCGTTTTTTTTTTTTTTTCTCATAAAACATGTATAAAATTATAATTTGTTTCTTTTCAGTCGTTACAAGGCCAACAAGTAGCTCAGCATGTCGCTCAGCAAGTGGCTGCTCAACAACAAGCTGCCCAACAACAAGTAGCTCAACAAGTTGCTGCCCAGCAGCAAGCGCAGCAAGCGTCGGCATCTACGTCCACGCCAACGGTGTCGACGTGGAGTACCAGTGGCGGTACTCCAAATAACGTCCAGGTAACGATGTTGCATCTTTTTTTATCGAATAATCCTATATGCGATTTTTTTTAACGGGAAAAAATTTATTAGGTTGTAGGAATTAGTGCCCTTGGTAGAACTGGCAATGCAAATGTGTTGACGACGAAGGATGGTCAGAAAGTTGATATACAAACAATTACTGCTTTGAGGCCGCAGCAAGAAGTGCAAGACGGTGACATCAAAGTGACAAACTTAGAAACTGCACAACTTCCAAATGGCCAGGTCATACACATACCAACGGGGCAAGCTATGCAGCAAGCTGGTCAACCAATCAGCATAACAAGTAATCATTTGATGAGTTTTGAATAATGCATGAAGTAAAAAAGACTCCTCGCATAAATTCTTGTTTAAGAGCGGTCACAATTCTTAACCGGATGTCATCAAGTACACTTAAGGGCATTTAGTATATCATTGGGAGTTTCCATCTTACCGATTACCATACTTTGATCAATTTATATTAATCATCTATTCTCTATATCTAAACTCTATTCTTATTTAACCAACGAGAAGACGCATAAAGCTAATGCTTTCAGGAATAAATCAAGCTCAAACTTGTTGTATACGTAATTCACTTTACAATGAAAAAAGGTTTAAAAAAAAAGGTAGTTAATGGTAAAAAAATAGGTAGAGGGAACGCCCAATCCTCAAAACGCCCATACCATGGGCACAAAATGCAACTGCCACACTGTGCCCTCGGGCCACACTTTGCGCTCTTGTAATCACTTTGGGCCCCCGAGCAGCAAAGTTTTTTACGCCTTCCGGGCTCAAATTACTTTTCTGCCCTAGGGTCCAATGTGATTTACTGGGCGCAAAGTGTGGATACGGGCGCAAATGGTAGTTTTCCTACGAGTTTGAAAAGTCTCTGTTTGCGAACCGAGAGGTTTGCGGCCCGAGCCGAAGGCGAGGTCCGTACTTAACGAGGTTCGTAAAGGAGACTTTTTGAACGAGTATCAGAAAACTGCTTTTTTGTCCGAGGAAGTACCAGCCTCCCAAAACCACCCGAGGGCGGAAATGGTACATTACGTTACTAGGGCACAAAGTACAAACATGAGCGCCCGAAAGGCGCGCTTGTTGTAGGTTGGTGCTTGAGTCGCGTGTAATGTTTTTCTTACCGAGGGCGTAATAGTAGTTTTCCTACGAGTTTGAAAAGTCTTTGTTTGCGAACCGAGAGGTTTGCGGCCCGAGCCGAAGGCGAGGTCCGTAACGAGGTTCGTAAAGGAGACTTTTCGAACGAGTTCCGGAAAACTGCTTTTTCGCCCGAGGAAGTACCAGCATCCCAAAACCACCCGAGGGCGGAAAAGTGTAATTTTGCGCTCGTGGGTACACTTTGCGCCCAATAAATCACTTTTTGCCCTCGGGCAGTAAAGTACTTTGGGTCTGGAGGGCACAAAAAACTTTTCTACCCGTGGGCCCAAAGTGATTACAAGGGCGCAAAGTGTGGCCTGAGGGCACAAAGCTACAGTTGCACTTTAGGCCCATGGTAAGAAATAGTACATTACGTCATTAGGGCACAAAGTACAAACATAGGCGCCCGAAGGGCGCTGTTGTTGTATGATGGTGCCCAAGTCGCGTATGTTTTTCTTACCGAGGACGCAAAATGCAATTTTGTGGCCGTGGGCACACTTTGGGCCCTAGGGCAGAAAAGTACTTTGGGCCTGGAGAGTGCCCAAAACTTTTCTGCCCTAAGGCCCAAAGTGATTACCAAGGTGTAAAATATGGCTCAACGGCAGAAAGCAGCAATTTCACTTTGTGCCCATGGTAAGAAATGGTACATTACGTCATTAGGCCACAAAGTACAAATATGAGCACCTAAAGGGCACGATTGTTGTATGTTGGTGTTTGAGTCGCGTGTAATGTTTTTCTTACCGAGGGCGCATAGTGCAATTTTTCGCCCGTGGGCACACTTTGCGCCCAGTCAATCACGTTGGGCCCTAGGGCAGAAAAATACTTTGTGCCCATAGGCAGAAATGGTAGTTTTCCTACGAGTTTGAAAAGTCTCTGTTTGCGAACCGAGAGGTTTGCGGCCCGAGCCGAAGGTGAGGGACGTAACGAGGTTCGTAAAGGAGACTTTTCGAACGAGTTCCGGAAAACTGCTTTTTCGCCCGAGGAAGTACCAGCCTCCCAAAACCACCCGAGGGCGGAAAAGTTTTTTGCACCCTCCAGGCCCAAATTACTTTTCTGCTCTAGGGCCCAAAGTGATTTACCATGCGTAAAGTGTGCCCACGGGCGCAAAGCAGCAATTGCGCTTTGAGAGAAAATTACACTTTGCGTCATCGATAAGAAAAACATATGCAACTCGGGCACCAACATACAACAACCGTACGTTTCGGGCGCTTATGTTTATACTTTGTTCCCTAGTAACGTAATGTACCATTTCGTACCTCGGGCGTCTTTAAGAGATTGGTGTGCCATCGGTAGGAAAAATAAAATTCGCCACATAAGCGCCATCGCACCACGGCTACCTTACGTCCCTTGGGCCGCAAAATAGCCCTGGACACGATGAGCCTCATCCTACGAAATGGAAGTTTTCTTACCTGGTGGCGCATATCGCCAGGGCAAGCACCAGACCCAAGGGACACCTTGTGATTGCCCTGATTAGATGCGCACCAGGTGCAAACTCTATTTGTCTTACTGAGGGCGCACTAAACGTCCAATAAATGTTGTAAAAAATACTTAAAGTAGGAAAACTGCTATTTCCTACCTTGGGCTACTTTCGGGGTTAGGTGTGTCCTCGGTAGGAAAAACTGAGTTCGCACCTGGTGCACAACCAACCAGGGCAAGCACAAAGAATTCCGGTGCTTGCCCTGGGGACATGTGCCACCAGGTACAAAAACTACTATTTCCTACCTCGGGCGTTTTTGAGAGGTTTGTATGCTCTTGGTAGAAAAAATAGGATCCGCCATATAAGCGCCTATGCATCGCGGCTACTTTACGCCTTTCGGGCTGCGAAACCCTTCTGAGCAGTTTTTTGTAACTATACATTTGTAACTCTACCTGTACACTCACTTGTAAATACATTTGCAATTTCACTTGGATTTACTCACGGGGTTTTGGTTTGGAGAAGCCATCAGTAATTCCAAGTAGTATTACAAGTAATAATCAAGTTTGATTTTTTTGCCGCTCAAATAAATGAAATTAAATTGTTACTTGTAATATCACTTGGAATTCTATTTGTAATTACTGATGGCTTCTCCAAACCAAAACCCCATAAGTAATTCCAGGTGGAATTCTAAATGTATTTACAAGTGTGTGTACAGGTAGAGTTACAAATGTAATTACAAAAAATCGCTCAGAAAAGAATAGCTCTGGAAACGATGGCACTTATCCGACGAAAACTACTGTTAAATACTTAATTGATATACAAACTAAAGTTAAACATAATCGCGTTTATAGTTTTCGAGAAAAAAAAATTCACGTTGTTTACCCTTTGATGTCATTTTTAACATGGGCTTAAAATGGGAAACGTACGAAACAGTTTTATTGAAATACTCACTAATCTTGATGTTGCAAAAATAATGTTTTTAAAAATTGAACTGCGTTAGACATAATCTACGTCTTTTGCCTAGGTATTAAAGCCCTGATAGCTAAAAGTTTCACCATCTATAGCTACCCTAACTATTTTACACCCATTTCCAGTGCAAGACGTAATTGAGGGTTTAATTTTACGATGGACCTTATAATCATATAGGGTTCAAACTCAATGGGCCATTATACAAGTAGTTCGAATCAAACGCCTTGGGGGAATTCCGGATATTCTACATTATATCAGCTTGTAAATCTTTTCTAAAATTAGAAATGAATTTAGAATATGGAAGTAAAGATAAAATTATCACAGGGCACATTACTGTTACTCATATCATTGTTAGTTCTTCGTTGGATTGTTCCGAATACGTTTTTTTTGGGATGATAGCGGTATCGATTAGCTGACAACGTATTAAGTAGCAACCAGTACAAAATTAGTTTTCACATATCCCATGTTAAATTTAAGTATGAATCTTTTACCAAATCACATGTATGTAATTGCCATGGCAAGTAGTTATATATCATTCGAACTTGAGATAACAGACCGCTATTTTTGTGTCTCAAGTTCCATAACAGCCGCTAGAGGCTCTGGAACCCCTTAGGGTAGGGCTGTTCTACCGAGCGTACTTTGGCGGTATATCTGAAAATTTCCGTAGAAAAATGTCGATCACAGTGTACCTGTTATTTGATGAGCCCATGACACGTAACTTGCACAAACTGTTTTGGTTTCTACAGACGCCCAAGGTCAACAGATAACGTTGATACCAGCCTCGGCGCTGACGAACTTGTCGGCCCAGCAGGCCGTTGCGGGAGGCATGGTACGGGGAGTAAATGTGGGCGGAGTGATGCAACTTCAGCCGGCGACTGGTATCAATACCACAAACGGCTTCCTTCAGTCCATACCAGTGCAAAATATTCCCGGCCTCGGCAACGTTCAAGTTATCTCGGCCGTGCAGGGGGCGACGGTCCAGGCCCTGCAACCCGGAGGAACTGCGTCGACCGTGCACATCGAAAACGCTGCCGATCCAAATTTCGGGTGAGTCGAGGGTTCCGTCCCGCGTGGCGTGTTACGATTGCTGGGCGTTGTCCCACGCCTCGTTTGCAAGAACATTATCGGGCACGATTCCAGGACTCGGCGGCGGCAATGAAGGATGCGGTGTGTCGAGGTCGCCCAGACGGTCGTTAGGCCGTGGATCCAGGCGAACGGAGCTACGGCCACCATCGCTGCTCAGCAGGGCCAGGTCCAGCAGGGTCAGGTCCAGCAGTCGCAGCAACAGTCGCAACAGCAGACGCAACACGTGACTGTGACTGGCGGCGGTGGTGCCGGCGGTGGCGACGAAACGGGCAAGCAGAACAGACGTAGGGTTGCTTGTACGTGTCCTAATTGCGCCGACGGCGACAGGTAATTGTCCGGCTTGAAGAATTTTTCTTACCGTTAAAACGTAAGATGATTGTTCGGCAAAGTTTTAACCCTTTCCAACGCCTCCTCTGTACGGTGTTTTTCAGGAGAGACATGTCTCGTAAGAGGCAGCACGTTTGCCACATACCGGGATGTAGCAAAGTTTACGGGAAAACGTCCCACCTGCGTGCCCATCTTAGGTGGCACACGGGGGAACGGCCGTTCGCCTGCAGTTGGGTGCTCTGTGGCAAAAAATTCACCCGATCGGATGAATTGCACCGACACAGGCGCACCCACACCGGTGAGAAGCGCTTCCAGTGCCCGGAGTGCACGAAGAAGTTCATGCGCTCGGATCACCTCACCAAGCACATCAAAACACACACGAAAGTGCGCAGCACGGTTAGTGCCGATCATGCCTCTACATGTGGTTGAATCATGTGATTTTCGATGTTTTTTTTTTTTTTTTTTTTTTTTTGTTGGCAATACTAGTTTTTTCTTTTTGATGGAACACGTTTCAATTCAATGGATGTTGCGCGCACTTGGCTGTTTTCTGCTCATTACGGATTTGATTTTTTTTTTTTTTTTTTTTTATTACGCCATTCCATGATATCCGAAAAAAAGAAGAAACAAACTGTTGCATTGAAAATGTGTATCGTTTTTCTTTGTATTGCTTTTTTAGCCGATCGATCGTCCGATTTTTGTAAGATATTTGATTTTTCAAACTAACATGTTGTACAACGCATGTTTATGATTATGAAGAAGTAGTACCACGATAATGAAGGATTTACCCAGTTAATGATTGAATTGCAGAAGTTATTTTTGGGTATAACCATTGGGATTTTTAAGATTACGATAAGTTTTGACACTTTTATGTTTTATGCTTTGCAGACTACTAAAAAAGTATATGTATACTTTTACGACGTATTAAAACAATATGTTTTATATGTATTGAGCAATCATGAAAAACATTCATATTTTCATTGATTCATCAAAGTCGTTAGTACAGTTTTTTTTCTTTTTTTTTTCAATTTAACATTATCGTAATTTTGGTGTCCTATTACATTCACGTCCAGTTAACGATTCATACTCATAAAACAACGTTCAATTGTTATAGTAACGCATCTGTTAAATATTAATTAAAAATAGTGTGAAATCTTAGTTTACCTTTTGATTATTTGTATAATATAGAAAAAATAGTAGTCCATTCATTAACCAAACGAAATTTTTATTTTCCAATATAGACAATACAGTTAGTTCAATCACTGGGTACCCTTCCACTGGTCACAATTGTATAGTACATAAAAACTAAAACGAACAAAAAAATCAAATAACAAAAAGAGGAAAGACGAAAACTAAAAAAAAACTGCTCTCTCTCTCTCTTCCTCTTCTCTTCTGCTACTTCAGCGTATAGAGGAGTAACTGCTCTATCAATTGAAAAAGAAAAAAAACGTGAGTTGTTTGTCTTCATTGCTCCAGGAGGCAGCCACGTCGACGCAGGAAGGCTCGTCGGACAGCGAGCAGTCATCGAACGACGAGAAAATCATCATCTCCTTCCACAAATCCGAGAACGAGCAAACCGATCTCGTGCTCTCGGATCCGCTGGAGGTCATCGACACCCAAGCCATTACGAACGAATAGATATTTGCTCCTGGCGAATTAATTCCTTTCGTAGTTTATTAAAATGCCTCGCGATAAAAAATTTTTCACGATTTTCCATGATCGTTACACTATTTTGGATTCGTTTGTAATTCATTATTACGGTATTTCATGCCGTTACCGGGAATGAAGTGCAGAATCGATGTCAACAATTCAGTAAATACTTTATAAACTGAATTTGTATAATATACAATGTTTTTAGTTCAATTGTACGTTTAACTGGGTTGTAGTTTCGTTTTTCGACACAAAGTTACTTTACGGAAAAAAAAGGAAAATTTTTTCACCAGGAAAAACTTTAAAAGTTTAGAAACGCAAAGCTAAACTAGTCTTCTATGCTCAAGTTTTTGAAAACTACTCCTAAACGTGTGAATTTTTTTCAAACGTTACACCTTCTGATGAAGTTAAAACGATGTACTTTTTAAGCATTTTGTAGATATTTCGATCTGTATTTATAACAACTTGTACAATTTTGTATGATTGCGTATGTAAAGAAAACTTCGTTTGAATATAAATGCCTTACTATGATAAGTCTGTCGTAAATAATAATTTCGTAAGACATATATCTGGTTAACATCATTGATAACTTTGTACAAACTAAAATTATGTACATCGCGAAAAATGCAGATAATCAGTGTCAGCAATTATCCTCGATATAGTTAATTCTTATATTTTTATATCAAACAACTTTGTAAAAAATGTATATAAATTACAAATAATGTATAGATGCGGGAATGCACAAATATTTCCATTTTTCGACATTTTTCAATAATAACCCTGTACTCTGCGACCGTTTTCTGTATGAATAAGAGCTACACTTATGCAAAAAGGCATAAGTTTGAGCATGTAATATAAAGATACATCACAATACACAAGTGCTACGTTTATATTCATTACCAGAGCAAAAAGTAAAATAATTAAAACATAAAACTGTTAATTATGGTAAACTTAATTTTCATCCTTCAATTTGATATTATGTTTTTATAGTTATTCACAATTTTTCTTACTTTTATTTAAAATATTTTGAAACGCAATAAAAAAATATTTTCTTAGCTTATGAATTGCCATTGACTTTGATCGTTTAGTGTGTCCTTGTGTGGATATTATCATCGAAAAGAAAAACCTATCATTTAAATACGTTCCTTGGAGATGGTGGAAAAACTTTTGAGTATTAAAATTTTTTTCTATATTTATTTGTTGTTACTTTTTTGTCATACCTAGTATTTTCCTTTGGTAAATAAAAACAAAACAAAATTAATTTTTATTTGCATATATATATATATTTTCAGTATTAATCAACATATTGCAGAAGTGCCCTTGATGCACTGTAATTGGAAGGTAAACAAATGCATATCATACAAAATGCCATCAAAGGCTGGGCCATTCAAATAAACGACAAAACATTCTTACAATCTGTAGAATGGCTAAATAAAAATTTATTAAAAAGAAAACATTTTTCATTTCAACCAACAATCTCACTTTTATAAAGTTAGTCAAGTAAAAATCTTACAAGATGGACATTTTGATGTGTGCATTAATGATACTTTTGTCCAGTGGACATATTGAAAGTCTTTTGATCTTAAACTTAAACACCCAATTCCACCGGTATGGCTTAAGATCTAGTGTATTTTCCCCAGATGTGCAACATGAATACAGATGCTATGAACAGCAGTGACATCACCAAAACTGGTACTGGTCCACTGAAAAAAAGCAGACCAAATTCTTACATGGCATTTTTACCAGTACCTACGTTACATGAGACAACACCTGAATGGTAATTGTCTAATTTCAAAGTATGTGGTTCATTATCAAAATACTGACACTTTGATTCCTGGGGAGTCATCAGTGTAGAATCTCCACATACCACTGGAGTTGGTTCCAGTGTTACGATTCCTGGCTGCGGTGGCAGTGACAGTTTTTCGCTGTCTGACAGTGCCTCCGAGACCAGCACGGGGTGCTACAGCTTTGCTGGGTGAGCGACCAGCAGCCCCGACTGAAGTAGAACTCGGTGCAGCAGGCTGAAAATTAAAACAAAGTGCAACAAAAGCTCGTTAACCAATTATTCAAGTAGAATAACTCTTCCCAGTCTCTTGGAATACTGTTTCCAGTCTGAAAGGTTAAATTCAATGCAAGTATCCTATGACAAAGACCTAAATTACTTATTCAAGTCAAATACAACCTAGAACAAGTATTTTCGATAACCTAATGAACGTTGCCTTGCAGTGAGACAATTCTAGTTGCTCTTAGTTCATTGCTAAAATTTCAAGTACACACGTTGAAACATATTGAACGAATGTCTGCAATAAAGTCAGGCTACAATGCCAGGTCCAAAGAAATCATTCAGTGATGACACGGTCACGATTCATTGAATAAAATTATCACAAAAGGAAAAAAAAAAAAGCTCTGGTGGTAGGCAAAGAGCTGATCGATCATGGAGAGCTAACGAAAAGCAAATTGCTCCAATAAAACCTGTAAGCCTGAGCCAATAAATTTTTGCACAACCGATGCTCGAGTGATGATTGAAAAAAACTTACCATTATTTTGTAGAAAAGTTTATTCCTTCAGTGACAGAAGTATTGCAATCTGGTTCGCCGAGCAGCATACGTTTTTGGACGATCGGCAGCAGCAGGAGCGCGTCAGCGAGTCCAAAACAAATTTGGCAGTCGATTAGATCACTCAGTTTTTTTCTTATAAACGTAATTAGAAAAAAATCACGCAAGGTTTGTAGCTCGCGGTCGCTTGTATTTTATACCTTACGTTACCCACCTGTTATTAATGATACAGTTGACTATGACGCGATGGACGCACACGTTAACGTTATCTAGAAGTGTGACGAGGGGGCGGGCAGAATATTGCGAGAGCACATCAGAGACACGTCAGCTGTGAGCCGGGTGGTAAGTATGGTCGTACAGAAACCTGATTTCTCTTTTACCGCTTGTCGGTGCATGATCAGGGTTTTTCTACAAGGCCCATGTAAGGCTGCCTGATTGCCTTCTGGGAACCACTTAAATTATATAAGGGTCATTAAAAACATTGGTGAGATTGCGCGATTGGACAAGGTATACCTATAAGGCCCTCGTAAAGGCAACCGTGGCAATCAAAATCTAAAACTAATGTGGGCCATTTCACAAAAACTGCGGTATTTTATGAATCCTGTACGTGGAAAACCGGTGGATTAAATTATTCTGAGTAAAAATTATTTCGTATTGTGTACTTGAACCAAATTTCTTTGAATACGTTTTTGAAATCATATCGAAATAATTTTTGTGTTTCCATAAAATGAAAAAAAAGGCCCAAAAACGTCTTACCGCAACCCGGAACATTATCAATTTCAGTTTTGACAGCCTATGGCATCTAATATGCATTGACTTATGAACTATTATATATATAATTATGTGTATTTTTATCTGAATATCTAAGGTGTCAAGCATCTTACGCTTCAGTTTAGAACAATAAAAACTTTTTTTTGAAAAAGTTAATGTTTTCCAGCTTCACATCTAAATATGATTAGTCGTAGTGCCGTTGCGAATATAAAATATTTGACTCGGAAAAAAGTTCATTGATAATAATAAATGTACTTAATCTGCAATTGTTTTCAAATTATGGACTAGGTGACCATATGGTACGATAGCTTCTATCAATTAATTATTTACCAAACTAAATTTTGCTGCAAAGCTCTTATTTGGAGCTTAAAAGTTGCCATCATATTTTCAAGTTTCGTTTTAAATTAAAAAAAAATTTAATTTACGTTAACATAGGTGCAAAAATGACAGTAAAGTCAGAGTCTAGAGCTTCCAGCTAGTTTGGACCTTACGTAACATAGAAAAAAAGTAAAAACATTCGGAGCATTGCATTTCCATTTTTTTATTTTCCGACACAAAACATTGCTGTTCTCCTATCTCAAAAGATTGATTGTAACGTGACTGAAGCTTTTTTTATTCGTTGTATAACTAGTTGAAACACGTTAAATGTATTGTTTGGTGGGATTTTTTAAGATCAATTGTGTTAAATTGCAGAAAAAATTAAAATAAAATAATAAATTTATTTTATGGATATATCTAATTAAGGGTTACTCTACTTGTTTGGGTTAATCTCTAAAAATAGTATTCAGACAAAGAATTTTATTTGATTATGGTTTGGATGAAATTAAATAACACATAATTTTCGAACGTCCTTTATATTAATTATGGTACGTTGCGTAAATTTTTATTAGAAAAAATATTTAAAAAATTTTTTAAATCATTTTTATGACAATGTGGCATTTAAACTTTAAGTTGTCTTCAAAAAAATATTTGTGTAATTAGTGCCAATATAAATATTGCATACATGTATACGTTTACCAAGAAAAAAGAGCTAAAGTATGATCTTCTTTTGCAGTGGCTTGCTGGAGAATCATATTTTTTGTTTTTATTTTTACAATTCTATTAAAACCTAATGTATTAAATTATTACTGCGTTTTTCCAAATTTTAGGTTTTTAGGAAATAAAAAAATTTTTTTTTAAATACGGTAGTATCTTGTCTTCATGGTGATGACTCTAGTAAAAAAAAATAGAGCTGATACAAACAAAAGATTTCAATTTGAGGGAATACATTTTTATTTAAATATATAGAAAAATGTTGTTTATTTGTAAAAAGTTATATAAATATGTACATAAGTTGAATTTTGATCGTGTCAAAGATAAAAGAAACATCGACTTTCTACAATACGTACGTATTTTGATGTTTTTCCATTGTCTGTAGAATAGTCGTGTATTTATGGTTGCATAACTTTTGTTCCTTATAAATCCCTGTGCTCAGTTTTTTCTAGCATTTGATCCATTAATAGTTTGGAGTGTACAATAAGAAAAAAAATAATTCATCATGAATAGCTTATTTCTAATTATAGGCATTGCAACTGTTATGGTAATATTAGAAATATTAAACTATTTTTTTTAAAAGTATAATTTTAAAATTATTGTAATATAAAAACAACGCTTTATTATAGTTCATAAACTAAGAAGAAATAATTCAGTTTTTGTTGAGGAACTAAAAATATGTTTAACTAGAATATAATTTTTCCTGAAGTTTTATTTTAGCAATATTATCAATACTGTACATATAATTTTCAAACATATATTATTCACTGTTTAATGAATTGATTTAACTGTCGTCATATTAATAAAATTAAACTGTTATTTAATAATACGCTTATCAAAGCTAAAAAAAATTTTATGATTAATAAGGTTATTATTATTATATTTTAAAATGAAAATCAATGGTATTAATTTTTTCATTCAAAAAAAAGTTCTGCAACATTATTCTGTTTTTTTTGGACTCTTATCTGTTTAAGATATTATTTTTTGAGAAAATCATAATTTTAAACAACTAATCCATAACAATATTAACACATTACCCAATTTTTGAATGATATACAAATACATTTTTGCTAAAAATTTTTGATCTCTAAAATTTTCTAACGTAAGTAGAGCGTTCTAATAAAAAAAAATCATATTTCTGAAACTGATAATAAAAAGGTCAATTTAATTGAAATATTATTTTGAAGTAGTGATACTTATCCACGAACAAAGAAAATAATCAAAGTTTTATTGAAATCTGTTAACGCAATTCAGAAATACGATTGATTATGTAAATACGCTTTCTCACACCACAGTTATCTACATGTGCAATTTTTATATTTATCTAAATAGGTTTTTTTTAATTGGATTTTCCAAGACTGGTAGAATCGAAATTAATTTGAAAAAATAGATGCAATCTAAATTTTATTTTTCAGTGACTACAGGTACCTAAAAAAAATTGGCCAAGTGTTATCATAATCGGCCGAGGGAATTTTGAGATACAATCACTTATTACATACTCACACACATCCTCGTATAATTTTGTATATTTTGATCTTAAACTATTTCAAAAAATGTATTCATTGAAATCGATGAAATTGGACTAAAAAAACCAATTGATGAAATTGAATATTTTTCCATTTGCAATGGATATACAGAAATAAAAAAGTCCAAGGGTTAAAGAAAATGGTTGATAAAATCCTGAGATAAAATCTGGATCCAGTTGATTATACTCATAAGTACACACTAACATATACCAGAGGAGATACCTTGGCCACAATATTCTATTTTGATCTTAAACTTCAGAAAGTACATTTATCATAAATTATAAAGCTCCCTCTATAAAGGAGCAAAATAAAGTGCTAGTGAAGTTAAAAGTATTGTAAATTTATTTTTCAATTTAAATAATGATAATTGTTTGATAATTCTTAGTTTCTAGCCAATTGCGAGCAAAATGTAACTCTTGTGGATACTGCGCTGAGTAAGTTGCATACGACATGTTTGAAGAACAGTGAAATGACCGAAGGTATCGTTAAAATATTTATGTACACTTACTTACCTATATTACACACGAAAAATTTAAAAAATTTGTTGGTTTTTTTTTTATAATTAATTATTAATAAAATATGCATCGTAATTATTTTTTTCCAGAAATGTTTACTAACTCATCAAACGCCCAAGATCCTAAAATGAATTGTTACCTGGGTTGTGTTTGGAATGCGACGGGAAAGGTATACCTATAGGCACTTTATTTTTTAACTTTAAGAGTTGTAACATTCCAATATTTCCAACTAAAACAATTTACTAAAACTATTCAATAACTTAAAATTTCAATACGTGTATTTGGAATTTCACAAATTTTTTGAAATTCAAAGTAAGCAACAACACAGATTTAAACTGGTTGTCCTTTAGGCTTTAAAAAATTTAAAAGTGTAGATGGAAAATGTTGTGTATGAAAATTACTGTTTAAGGTTGTAGTCAAATTCCATAATACTATGGTACATAAATACATCAAGTCCAGGATTTAAAAGATTTTTAAATTTCTGAAAATGTACGATACTTGCTAAAATTAGTTTTACAGTTCGTAGGTGGAAAACTTCAACCAACTAAAGTTTTACATTCATTCAGACGACACATGCATCACACTATGGGTATAATGCATGCTAACGTAGCAAAATGTATTTCCAAAGGCAAGTATCTTCATTATAATATGTAAACTAATTTGACTTTTGTTTGATTGTTAGTCATAAATTTTAAAATACAATAATGAGAATATTTAATTTCAGCCAATAACGAAACCGGTGAATGTAATATTTCAGGAGTTTTTAAAAGCTGCCTCGAAGATAACATCCAATTCCATATTCTTATATGATGAAATTTTTTTCTTACTTCTACATAATTAATATAGAGTAGAATATTATTTTGTCACACATTTTCAATGAATAAAGTTGATGTCATAAATAAACCTTTAGCCACTCATATAACATGAAGTTTTTATTGGAAGTTGAAACGTTTTAGAAAGTTTGAGATTTTTTTTTTGACAACAGTCATGTTTATGAAGTTTATGTTGCCAAATACGTGTTATCAGGCTCGACAATTCCAAAAGAGTTTCAGATATTTATACCTAAACAGTAACTGAAAATTTATGAAAAAAAGTTATGTGCTGTAACATAATTTGCGAGCATATGATAAGTGGTAATAATTTTTTTTACTATTTAACTAATCAGTAATAACACTACACAATTCTTTAACAAAAAATTATTTTCTTCACTTTGAATTTAAAATTGATATGAAACTTTTATTCTTTAAAAACGTAATTTAAATAATGTATTTGGTCCTATTGCAATTAGTCATACTGTACAGCTAATTTTATCAAATTGTATATTACCTAAGCTTAGATTCTGAAAATTTTTTAGCAAAAAATAAAGCTTTTTTGCCTGAAAACTAAGTGTTAATGTAAGTACAAGAATATTTTTTTTTTCCTGTAAAGCATCTTATTTAAAAAAAAAAAAATAAATTGCTTATTACCAGAAACATCAAACACATATCGTAAGATGAAATTTTTTCAAATATTTGGAGCAAGAATGACGTCGTGGTTGGAAATACAAATACAGCACATTCGACTATTCAAAACTTAATTGAATAGTTTCAGTTTATTCAGTATAGTGATATGACAAATTCACTACATGGTATTTGTATTACGAAAGCAATACAGAGACTTTGATTAAAGTAATTTTTTGCAACATACATTTCATGGATGATAATTTGTCTGACAACCTTATTTCAAGATGAAATCTTATATTTGGATTTTTACCATCATCAGTACAGTGAGTACATTTTTAATGTGACGAACGTCATAAAATTATTAGGTTATTGATTTTTAGGTTGACAACCTACAATAATTTATTTTGAATGTTATTTCAAACGATTTTTTTGTCCAATCTTCGTCAAACATTAAATGATTGCCTTGCAACAAAAAGTTTCCTGTAATCGCGAAATTGAAAACACAAAATAATATTTTTTTATCTTCTGCAGCAATTATTACTCGCTCACGGGTACTCAACGTCAGAAATGCAGAAAGTATCGGCCGAATGCAGAAACAAAACTGAATTGATAAAAGGTTTGGTTTAATTTCATTACATCATTATTACATTGATGCACCTGATAATTTTGTAATTATCTTAAGTTCAGCTTGATTCTGTGACATCTTGAGGTTGATAAGTGTAACATACCTGCATACATTTTTTTAAGAAAGTACTTATGTACGAGTACATATCACACCTAAATAGGATTAAATGGAACTAAATATGTGAATGAATTTGTAATACTCCTGTTTTGCTTGTGCAGATGTGTCCGAAGAACAACTCGATTTCGACGATTATCAAGTGAAATGTTTTTCCGCTTGCATAATGAAAAAAATAGGAGTTGTGAGTTAAAAATTTTACCATATTTGCTTATTTTGAACATTTTTTTTTTTTTTCTTTATCGATACTGATTCTTAATTGTTTTTACAGTTGGCAGGTGGCAAAGTAATACCGGAAAAATTCATCCAAGTGATCATAAGGTTTATTCCACCTTTGATCGAAAACACGGCCGGAAAGTTGATGGAGTGCGTTACTTTAGGTATGGATTTCAAGTACTTCAATTCATCGGTAACTCATTTTTTTTTACTTGCAAAAAAAGCAAAAAAAAACTATTGCAGCCAACCAACAGATCGGTGACTGCGAGGTGGCTGGTGTCTTGGGCAAGTGTACGATGAAAAATTTCAGTCCTCTACAGTAAACCACAGGAAAAAATTTTGATTATGAAAATAAAGACCAAAAACTAAATTCCAAGCGAAACCAAAAGAATAACTCGATTATTTCCCTGATCTACCTCAGTGATTTTACGTCATCTTTAGTATTTTCTTGATAAGTATCATTTGATTCAACAGAACTTTATAAACATTTGAATAATATCAATCAGGTGGTGTAGTGGCGGTCGCCGGCGTGATTAAATAATCCTGGCGAGCGCATGAAGCTTCCGAAGAAAGGTTCTTTGTTTTCAACTTTTACAATCAACGCATTCTCCTTCCCTCTTTTCGCCACCATCGAATTACATTTCAGCATAAAATGACCTAAACATGAATCACATGACAGATTGTTCAGAACACGTACATTCTTACCGAGAGATCGGTACGCAAGGTATAATTAATTTCATTGTCTTATCGATACCATAAACTTATTACACTCAAAATTCTATTTATACGGAAACAGAAAGTTTGTTGGTGATTTCGGATAACATACATACTAAGTCCATTAGTTTTGTACTTGATCAAAAGTATAAATATTTTATTTAAAATTAGAATACTATGATCAGTAAGTAGGCATTATTATCAAATAAAATACTTTATTGATTCACTGGAAGCTAAGTACTTAACTTTAAGGTTAATGCGGATTTCGATAGCTACTAGTTTTCAAATTTTATTAAATTGTAATTCATCTCATTACAATTTTTTGGATACATCATACTTGTTTACGAAACAAACAATTTTAACATAAACACATAGTCCTGAATCTCAGAAATTTTTCTAACCTCAAAACATTTAAAGCTGGTAACTTATGTGATATTTTTCATTTTATCAGTTTTTCACATGGTTACTGCACTAACATAATCAGATAAAGTTATGTAGTAAGACAGTAAACAAAATTTGTACCACTTGAACAATTAATTTATAAGTACAATTTATTTACATAATATCTTCTGTGTATATTTCTGGTGATTGTTTACCTGATTAAAATGACATCATACATCAAAAGAGTATTTCATACCCTCAACTTAGTGGGTTTGACTTCTTCCGTTCGCCCACTAGTGATATCTCCATTATTTTTCTGCTACAAAAAACCCCGTTATTTTCTTTCCTCATTATTTTAATATTTAATTGTATACTAAACATTATATACTTACTTCTTCTGTTGGTTTTAAAGCTCGCAAGTCCTCCACCCGATTCCGCTTGAAAAATCCTACCTTGTACAGGATCAAAATTATAATCAATAATAATACTATTCCAAGTAACACTGGCAAAATAATAAATATTTTTGGTAATGTATAATGATCGTTTTGTCTAGAAATTAGTGATGATACGTGCACGATCCGTCGATTTTTATTTTCGGAGTCCATCTGAACACTTGGCGTAGTAATTTCGGCGTACGCTTGGCTGACGAATATAATATTTTTTTCCTTAGCTGCCTCAACTTGAAAAATAAAGATCAATGAAATTTTGTGCAAACAAAGCACATTCAAGTGATTGTGTGGGTCTAGTTAAGTGGGTCAACGAACCTATGTCCTCAGATATTCGAAAATCTATTGTTACAATCAATTCTGCAACAGACGTCGTTTCGAGAAAGGAATCAATGTCACAGCAAAGTCTTTGACACTCTACGTTAGGATTCGCGCAGTTTATAGAAAACGTTTCATCGAGAGAAACGAATGTATCCACTTTGTGTTTCTCATCGGAAGAATAATTCTTTGATTCCTCATCGCTGGTGCAACTATATTTGTGATCTTGGATGGAAACCCGGACGTAGTTTATACTTGCGATCTCCAGGTCTTGAAACCGTACGGGAATACTGACAAAAATAGCAGCCTTATGGATCGGCGTGATACCCAATTTGTATACGTCATAAATGTGATGGAGAGTAAGATTTTTAGAATGCGTTTGTATCACTTCACTCTCCATGAACGAGTAATTGTTGTTTTGGAACCTCCTAAAAGTCATACGTTCATTTTGATTGTTTTTAATTTAGTTTGTTTGAAAACATACAATTTCATGAATGTAAACGTTTAGCGTAAAGGTGCACTATGAAAATCTTGATCTAGTAGTACAATGATTTCCTCCGGCACACCTACCCGACAATATTGATGTTTGCATCAACTTTGAAGTTGATTTTCAATGATTGAACATTATCACGAGGATTGATTTCCTCACTTTGGCTGGAAACCTTCACTCGGATTTCTTTGAATTGTGATTCAAACGACTGTAGATCAGTATATTGAACTGCACTCATGTTGAGCTCTAAAGGTATGGTCATCTGAAAGATGATTCTCGTAAGACTATATTACTATACGTGAATAAAATATTTGACGTAAATACAAGAACTGGAGGATGCGCAGGAAAACTACGTGTACATTATATTCCAAGCTTGAGAGAGCTGTAGTCTATTTAATCTATTATAGCACACTTACATTATATCGAAGAGGACTATCAATTACACAAATCATTCCCGGAGTTTTATCTTCGCAGTGCGATTCCCTCCATACCGCAGACCAAGTGCGATTAATTGGTGTGATCGGCTCTTCGATTTCAATGAAGACTTCCGGTAAATAGGCGGGATCTCCTATATTTTCCACGAAAATGGTCAAGTTTACGTTTGACTCCGAGCCCATAACGTAGCTGTTGTTAGCGTCCACGAGACTACTCGTAATGCTTACTTTCAAATCGGAACTACACGTATTGTCCTCGCCACAGTCAAGGGCATAAGCAATTTTCATGATGTCGGTAATTTTTGATTTTGGATGAATTTGTATCTCATTCCTATCAGCTAACCCGCTCGTCAGCTTTGCCTCGAGTACAATCGGGTTGGTTATGTTGTCTACGAAGTCCTGAGAAAATGCACACAATTTTTCATTTCTAACAAGGAAAAAAAAAGAAAAATACATGTTACTTTGTCTTACTTTCGAGTACAAGTATCGAGTCTCACACCCCAGTAGTCCTTTTTTCAGGTTCAGAAGTACAGAGTGGAATAAATTTCCTTTGAGTACGTTTCGATGGTGCTGGCTTTGCCTGTTACTTTCGTACATCATCACGCTTACAACCACCTCTGAAAATGAAAAATGGTGCCATTAGATTAATTACTACAATGGATTTAAGTTTCTAAAGCCATGAAAAAATTATAAATAGCGGTGAGAGTGGTTAATAAAAATAATGAAACAATTACATTTGATGTGGAATGAATAAGTTGATGATTTATTTTTAGTTCATGAAAAACCAAAGATTGTAATGGGTTCTAAGCATCTAATTAAACGTTGTCTAAGCATCTTGGGTTTTTTTTCTGGTAAAATAAAATACTCACTGAAGGTGTCGTTGGATCCATTGTACTTGGCACAAATGGAGTAGTCAAAAAAATGTTTGTCCCATATTATGCTCGAACTTCTATTGTGCTGGAGCTCGACGCTCACCATGTAAACGGGTCTACTTATGAGGAGGACCACATGCCCGGATTTGTGGGAGCCTACGGCCAGATCGGGGACGCCGTCGCCATCTGTATCACGGGCTGGGTCGCTCAGAGAAAACCCGAATCCTAGCAACCTCGTGTTCGACACTTCCGAGGCAGGTATGTGTTGCATGTGCTGCCGCAACAGGTCACGATCGCGACTGCCACTGTAGATATGGACAGCTCCTAGGCCCTCGCCTTTTTCGTTCCGCTCGTAGGGTGCTCCTATCGCTATGTCGTTCAAGCCGTCGTGATCAATGTCACCCAGACAGGCCACCGAAGTCCCGAAGCGCCCTTTTGTCCGATTGCCATCGATGCGATAGATAGTCCAGTTGAACTGTTTGAGTACAACTATTAGATTTAGATTTACATAATCAATGAAATATTTTTCACACTCTGGGGATGAGGTTCGACTTTGGTGACGATCTGTCTAGTAGAGTACCAAGTTACTGATATGTTTTTCAAATGTTGGAACGAGAAAAGGCTTTATATCTGGTGTTCTATACGTAAATACGTATATTTTACATTCATCGACTGTGAGAAAGTTATGTGATCTATCTCTTTTACAAAAAAAACCACTGTATGATGGAAACTCAAATACATACATCACTCGATCCCCTAATATTTGGCTACGTTTTTGCTCAAAATATCTTAAGGGAACTTTATTGCTGTATGTTAGCAAGTGGTTTCAACAGAAATGAAGTTCCCTCAATTACATTTATTGGGTCTTGAGAGAATTCAGAAACTAAAAGTGACAAAGAATAAAAAAAAAAATATATTTAAGTCACCATAAGTGACCATAAGTAGATGACTTAAATTTGAGTTCCCGAATAAATTGTGTTATTACACACAAGGATTGTTGTCATCTTCGAGGAACTTTCATACAAATAAACTAAAACAGAAATCACGTCGTGTGACTGATAGTAATGAACATTGTCCTTCCAACATCAATTTTATCTTGACAGTTATTTTTACATCATAAAAGCAAATTTAGGCATGTACCATGTCTCGTCTGGAAAGTCTCGGCTTCGAAAATTTTTTCAAAGTCTTCCTTTCGTTTCTTCTCGGGATCTCGAGGACCATTGTCATGACTCGAGACTATAGAATTTTTTTCAAATCTCTGAGACTTGAATGTCCCAAAAATTTTCCACGATACTTTCTAGATTCTCAAAAGTCTCAAATAAACTTTGAAATTGTTGATTTACTTTACCTCGCCCTTAGAGACGTAAGCATACACACGGCCCTCGTCAGTTTCGCGAGACCATTGAGGGGCACCAACGATCAAGTCATCTCTTCCGTCACCATTGACATCACAAGCGGTAAGACTGGAACCAAAGTACTCGCCAAACTGCTCACCTTCAACGACGAGCCTCATCACTTGAAGATTCTTCTCATAAAAGTAAACTCTGCCCTTTAAAGCGCTCGCTCGAGGAGCTCCAAATGCATAGAGAAGCTCGTTCTTTTTGTAAAAGTAACCAGATGTAATTGAATAACCTGATATGGAAAAATGAAAAAGTTATTATAGTTCAACAAATTGTATAACTGAATAAAAATATTCCGAAATTAAAAAAAAAATTCGTAGTTGAATTCGAGGCAATAATTAATAGGGCTGCAAGAGAAGGTAAGTGGCCTTAGAATGCAAAAGAAGTCACGAATATCCAAGTGACTTACCAAAATAGTCGTGGTTCTTCATTGAACCAGGAATTTCGAATGGATTCAAGTTGTGTGATGATGTAGAGTACTTGGAATGGTTACCCTTGACCGTGAAAACCGGAGCTTTCGAATCAAATGCACCTGGAGTTCCAATTAACAAACGATGGGTTTCATGGTTTGCCTCTACGATGTGAGCAGAGATTCCAGCTTCGCCCATGTTGTGAAGTCTTAAGTTGATAAAGTGGTGATCCACCTTATTTAATAATTCGTAATTTACGAACGACTCTTCTGTTTCCTTTACGGAGAAGCATATTCCGCTGACGGTACCAATCGGCTTGTCCTCTAGTTTAGTTTTCCATAACGACGCGCACGCCTACGTTTAAAAATACATACGTGTAATTATTAAATGGATGCATAATAATTATACACATTAGTGTTATTATTTGGATATATGTTATAAGGTAAATGTCCCTATTATGATAACAAATTTCATCACACTTACATCTTTAATTTTTTTTTCTTAACTGTGAGCTTTAACAGTAGAAATTTTGGTATTAACTGGGGCGCTATAAATTTACCATTATTATTCTAATTTTTAAATATGGTTCTTAGTTGTTAAAATACTTTATTTTATAAAAAGTATATTTATAAGACCAAAATGTACATAATTATGAAACGTTGTACCTATTGTTTCATATTATGTCCCTATTTATGAAACATTTTAAAAAACGTAAATTGATTATAATATTTTAAGACAATTAAAGCTTATTCACTTGCATAACACTATTTTGTTTAACCAAAATAATTATATCGTTTATTTGTTTACTAGAAATATAAAAATTCCTGGTTGAAGTTTGTGCCATAATACGTACAGTTCAAAAGATAGGTTATGTATGACTTTGTCCCTATTTATGGAACTATCTTTAAAATTGGTCATTTATTGTATGTAAAATGAAATTTTTCTTGTGAATTCATAAAGATGCATAAAATATACAACTACCACAATTTTTTTATCAGGTTAGTTGTATAACAAATACATGAATTTTTATGTTCCATGAATAGGGACACGTTCCACGAATAGGGACATTTACCTTAACAATTATTGTTATACAACTATTTATAGATTGTTATACAACAATTCGGATAAAATATAATTATTGCAAAAAAACTTTGGAACACACTTGGAAAGTAATTAGTTTTATGCAATTTTTCTGATGATTTATGAACTGATGGTGTTCGTACGATCGAGTGTTTGTTATAGCCAACACATAATTACATCGAATGATTTGTTGTAAACAATAATTAAAAATTTTCTCTTTTGAGCTTGAAATCATAAAATCGACTATATTCCATACCCATATCTGTTGCGTGTAGTTTAGTTTAATGTGACTTTCAATTTAATTAACAACTGAGATGTATTTTCACAATTGCAGAAATTTTCATAAAAAATTTGAACAATAATTATAAATAAAAAAATTAGTTGATTTGAATATTTAAAAGTGTTGTTATACAATCTTTACTGAATACTCATTAAAGTAATACACGATACCCCCTAAACAAACCATCAAACCTCAATACACACACGCAACTATACGCGCGTAGGTGGAGGAAAATACACTCATTAATTCTTTAGTTGGTTTATAACCAGAAAAAACTCTACTTACCGTAATCGTAGGTTTGCTTGAATTCTCCACAAGCACAGTTGTCCCGAGCCAAAAAACTTTGCTATTTTGACGAAGCTTGTTTTTTATGGTGCTAATGAGATCCCATTTATGACACATGCCATTGATTATCTGACAGCGATAGACGGCTCCCGGCTTAAGATTTTGTTCATGCTTGTAGATCTGATGTGGGAAATCTGTTCGCGGTGCTCCAACCAATATCAGAGCTTTATTATTTTGGCTAACGTAGAGCGCGACCGAGTAGCCAAAGTAGTTGGAACATTCAGTCGTCGGCGATGGGCATGAGTTGCCATTTGGGTCCGAAAATATTTTTCCTGGTTGAAATATGTCAAAGGTGTTCGTTGCCGTAATAAGAAGTAACAGAGTGCCGATACAGTAAAAGCAACGAGTGAAACCGTAGTTGTTGTAACAGTAGTGAGGTAGCATTCTTGAATTTTTTTCGAAAATTTTGGAGCTATGGATGGTTGCTGGTATTTAAAAAAATAATGGAATCGAATGTATCAATTGACTGTTTAATTTGCATTATTTTATTTTTTATACCTAAAAGTACATACCTGTTGAAACACTGTGACAGTTCAGCTTTGCACAAACTTGCTAAAAAATTTTTGAGCTTGTGTTTCCAGTACTGTAACCAAAAAAGCATATGGGCGTTGAGATTACTATTTTTCGCTATACTCAATCTTGTTTTTGGATAGACAATATAGGTAAATAAAGTTGGATATTCTTAGTTTTATCAGTATATAAATGCAAAATTTATTATCGTACATCAATATAACACTTTTATGAAAAATACATTCTTACCAGCGTGTAAAAAAACTGATAACTTAATGACTTTCAACTTACTAGAAACCGATATTCCTAAAAATCCAAATGTGTCAGAAACTAAAAAGAGATATGATACAAAGGAGGTACTTAAGATAAAGTTACGTGATAAGTAAATCCAGTACATCGAATCATCTGAACTGAGCAGGTTAAACAAATTTTTGTGCAGCAATGATTTATACAAAGAGAGTTAAAAAAAAAACAAGTTGGAAATTATTGTTAAAACATCGTGATTAAGAGTAAAAAGTAGATATTATTAATGGAGAAGGAATTCAGGTACTTAGGAAACCAGTGGCATCAATTGAAACCGCTATCTTGTTAATGTGAAGGCATAGGGATATTTTTAAATAGTTAAGGAAAAGCATTACTCTAAAAAACTTGTTTTTTTGTTTCAGTTTAAAAATAATCGAATAAGACACTGAAGTTGTAAGGATTTGCAGTGATGTTCAACACAAATGTTGAAGTTAGCTAGTTGAAAACAAAAAAAGGAATAAAAAAGTAAATTGAGCAGTTGAGGAAAAATAGATTGAAAGAAGGAAATTTTAGGGCTAGAAAAATGTTTTTAAAGACTACATCAGGTGATATTAAACGAGGAGTTTATATATCTGGTAACCTCAAATAGAGATATTCCTGTCTAATTTGTTATTGAAACAAAATTGGAAGAGATAATAAAAAACAAGTGGACTCAAAAAACAAAACAATTGATAAAAATTAAGTATGTGTCATTTTTCGTACCAAAAAAAATGTGTGTCATGTGCACCACATGGTAGGTAAAGTATTTAACTGTGCGAAGAATAAACATTATTAGTGTTCTTAAATGGATAAAAGGATGATAAAATTTTAAAGAAAAAATGATTAAACAACACAAAACAGAGCGATTTCAAGCGGTGAAATAAACAAAATTGCCTTACCTGAAGCATTGTACATTAAACCAAAACTTTAAAAAGAGATATTCACATATATTCTGTTCTTGCATCAGATCAGCTTTATTGCTTCACCTTATACATTGATTTCATTAACACACAAGTACAGCAACTCCACGATAGCAATACGTTTATTACGGGACAGCCTGACAGTTGTGGCTTTTGTAAGAAATGTTGAACACAAACTAAAGTCCGATGGACTAAATTTATTTGTCTCAGCACTGGCACTAAAGTGATCCAAATTAGTCATAACTATTAGTAACGCCACTGCCACGGAAACTGATAAGATTCATGACTTGTTAATGTCATTAGACTAATGAGACTTTACTTATTCCAACATGAAAATAAAAATGTTTTTAAAGTATTTCGAATTGAATTAACGTTATCACACTCAGCAACACGTTGCATATGTTGGATCAGCAACTGTTTTGATGAATTCCTCGATTCCAATGGACAATTTGTCTCTACATTATTTTTCTTACCCACGGCACAAAATTTAACTCCCGCTTTTCGCCCTCGAACCACAAACAGAAATTGTATGAAAAAATCCGAAATAAAAATTTATAATCTAACAAGTTTTTGAAGTTATTATTCGAAGTGACTTAATCAGAGACATTAACGCCTTTGAACAAGCGAATGCGAGCGAGCCAGAATCTCTGTGATAAGTTTTAAATAAATGTGCTTGTGCATGCATGTGTACGAAATGTTTCTCGTGGGGCTCATCTACCTTCTTTTTTTTTATATGTATATACCTTAGACTTAATTGCACATTCAAGGAGTAAACAAATGTCCTTATTTGTATGACACTTTTATACTCGAAATATATTACACCACTGTGTAAAAACTTTTTTGTGAACAAACTTAAAAGGTTACATCTATTTTAATTGATTTTATGGGGAAAATTTGGGCATCATTATGCATTGTTGTACTTTAATGGCAATAAAGCTCACTTGATTATGATTAAATCAAGTGTATACCGGAAACTTATCTTACTCAAACTTCTCCACACATGGATTTGAAACTTTTATAGGCTGAAAAAATATGAACGAATAAGTAATAAACATGGTTTATAAATTTGAATTTCAGTGAGATAACTTAATATTGTTGTAACGTTCTTTAGTTGTTACAAAAAATTTTATTAAAAAATGGAGGAAGTACGACAAACTACAATAAATGAAATACCTCTCTTATTTCTCTGCGGGCTATACCTACTCATTGAACGTAAATTCTTATAACCTTTTCATTGAATTGGAAAAAACGCATTATTAATATGATTTCAGTAATTAATACATATGGGATTAATTCACACTATTTATTGTCTTTAATGTTTAATTTGACATTCAAAGTTACTTGATAAAATACGTAAAATTACTGGTAGATTCATTATAAAAACACAAAGTTGTATATACTCTACACAAAATTTAAAAAAAGATCCATAACACATACTCTACACACATCGATCAAACTTCTATTTTACACGTAATACTGTACGTTCACAGTAGCCTCAAAACGATTTTTCCAGGCTGTCCTTTGTATACCGTCGTAGCAGGTATCATTTTTTCGATTTTGATTTTACATGACCCACGGGAATTTTTGCGCAACAGAGCAGAACCGATCGATCCACAAGAAAGACAGGAGAGAAATTTTTTCTCATCTTGGGCTACATAATTCATTTATTTCTCTTTCTGCGAAGAAAATGTGAACGTCACTAGTTTTTTGCGCATGATGATGGATTGACAATTGAATCTCTATTATTGGGGCGTTGGTATACACCAAAACAAATAAGTAAGGCGTTAAAGACGTTATTTCCTTTATAAAGCCAAAGATAAACATGCACTGGTTTCACTAGCTACTTGGAAATATACATCGTTTTGAAGATTATTTTATTCCAAATTTTTTGTCGTATGTAACATACTCAATTATGCTGTTGTATGTAAACATCACAGTGGACATTTATTTTCATTCCAATGTACATACAAAGTATTAGGAAGAAGAATAACTCCTGGGGCACTGGATGTACGGCACTTACAGTCCATCATTTTAAAAGCTACGGAAATTGAGCTGCCACATCCTTACCTATAATTTACTACCGCGTATCGAATCCTTCTCACCACCTTCTCTCCTACGTATACGTGTATGTATTTACTTTATTTACAAGTACCTTCTAGGTACATAAATTCCATTTGAATGCGTATCACTTTAAAGCTCATTCACATAATATAATAATAAAAATATTAATAACAAAGAAATATAATAATAATAATTATAACAATAAAAATAATAATAATAATAATAACAATAATAATAACAATGAATATATCGAGCAAAAAAAAGTTGAACTGCTACTCCTTCCTTTTATCATGAAGTAACCGAAATTGTCTTTAAAATTCCATGGTTAAAATAAATTTTCTACATCCCACACACTTCTTTTTAAAACTTTCCTGTAGGAAAATCCCCAACAGAGAATCCACATATATGGCACAGTTATGTTCTCCATAACAAGAGATTAAATTTTTAAAATAGCCCTTTTTTCCGTAAACCCCCTTTGGAAAACAAAATTAATTGAATGAAAAATCAGATAAGTTGGTCTTTATGAAATAATTATTTTTACAAGATTACAACAAAATTGGAAATTCAAGTGGCAAAATTACCAATAGATAAACAAAAATTGTGACTTAAATAACCTTTTCTTGTAACATTACGTAATTGGTAGGTATATTGAAATAAATTACACCTCCGATTTTGTTATCTAACGATTAAAAACACATTCAGTACCTTTCAAATTTATTTAAAAAATGGCAAAGTTAAAAAAATACAAGCCCCCCAATGCGACGATTGTGCGTATCCTCATTGCAACAGGGGCGTAACATGCCACGCACGAAAATACAACCCGCAAAATACAGACAAAAAAATCAGGAGTTGGCAATCTGCTTTGATAATTAAATTGCCTGTTTATTACCCGCAGCAGCGGAAGCTTATAACGCTCGTTCAAGAGAAAAGATTTCTGCTCTATATAGCCTCTAACAGTCGTATAGTATGGTGGTATAGCAAGCAGTTGGCACCAATTTAGCCCTGTGACACGGTAAAGTACGTTAATTGCGTCATTCAATTCATAATGAAAAAATCTCCATAATTATTTACTTTCTTAAAATAATTTGAATCTTCATTACTTGACTTTTTTTATTCCTCACTACATAAGAGATTAATATTCTTTAGAAAAAAAATAAATTAACTCATTTTTATTTGTAATGTTTCCCTTGGAAACAACTCAGCTTTTACTTTACACGTGTGCGTTTGAATCAACTTTCGATGAAAATTCATTAGCGCTGCTGAGAATGTTATGTTTTCACAATAAATTGTAAGTGACATTAAAATAGACATTTGTTATCTGTATTGACTTCTGAGAATCTTCTTTCTGATGTGCGTATTCTAACTGTGGTCCGATGGTTCGGAAGCCATGTAAAATAAGGTTCCCTTTGCTGTGTAAGTGATTGATGTCACAATTAAATCCGAAGTGGTTTTTTACTCTGCCAATGGCGAAAGCATACATATATGCATAGAAACTGAATGAAACATGAAGAGAAAAATGAAGGATCGAGTCAAAAAGAAAAATAGTAGGACTAGGAAAAGAGCATCAATTGGTCAAATTGCATTAGAAACATGACAGATTTATCTAAACTT